ACCATCTTTTTCTGATAATGGTGTCCACGTATACCATTTGCAAGATTTAAAATTTCCATGCATTAATTAGCTAGTGTAGCCACACCTGCTTAAGTCAATTTAACCCCACCTAAGGGTGGGGATATAATTAATTGTTAAGAAATTGCCAATATTAAATCCGCCAATAAGTTAACCATCACAAAACCACAAAAGAAAACTCCCACCAACAAAATATGGTATATACGATAATCCGCCCAGACATCAAAATTGGCTACCATTTTTGCTGGCAAGTTTGTTATGGAAGTCAATGGAGGCACAAAGAAACTGCCTCACTTACCAGCTGTAGCTCTATCAATAGCCAAAAAGCACTTGTTATAAGAAAGAACTGCTGCCTTTAAGCTTCTCTTGTAAAGGATTTGGTCAAATTTGCTCTAGAATTCTTAATATACAGGTTTGTTTTATGTAGGTCCGTTTGTTCTCCATAGAAGTTGAAAACCAAAATGCGACCGTAATTTATTTCATTTTAAACCATGCCTTACAATTTTAAAATTTCTAACAATCTTCCTACACAATCAATTCTTGCCTAGGGTAGTCTATAGCCGCCCAGCCTTTTGCCTAATGCGTATGGATGACTACCTGTACACACTGAGGGAGGGGCTATAGGGGCTGGCTAGCTACATAAGTAGTATCAGTTTTTATCATTGATTTTGTGAAATGAAAAGTTAAAAATAATCTGTGGCTGTGTCGATTATTTATTCTGCAGATTTAATGAATAATAATTTAACTTTCTGTCTACTTTTTGTAATTTTGTGTGCCAGCAAAATATGCAAAATTAAAAACCCCACAAACTATCAAACATGTATTGTAGACTAGCTATAGTATTCTAATTGAGTAAAGCTCTTACTGGTAAAGTAGTTCTGTTCGTATGTCTTTACATGCATGCACATCAGAGCATCTTGATTTGTTTGAGGGTCAGAGCCCCTTAAAGTCACATTCCATATTTGGTAGTAAGTAGTGAGATGTTATTTTAGGCTACATTTACACAGCAACGAAAACGATGCAATCCGTATAGTTTTGTGCCTGTTTTATGCTTCTGTTTACACAGAAACGAATGAAAATGTGATAGAATCTTGATAGAACTCTATGGAAACGAAAACGGTGTTCAAAGTGGATGCTTTAAAAAACGATGCGTTTTGTGTTGCTGTGTAAACATAGCCTTAATGGTTGCTGTTGTGATAACTTAACCTAATGCTGTTTGTAGGCAATGAAAGGACCCAAGTCCATTATTTTTTAATGTGCATAGTGACTATATATTTTAATGACACCTTACATAATGCATTGTAATTATGCTGCATTTTTTTATTAGATACATGTAAGTCAATTTTTGGTCTTTCTGTCAAAGATTTTTCACTCCTGGACAAGATATATGATCTTCAATTGGAGTTTTCTGATATTTTTACAGAAACAAGAGATGCATTTAAACCAGAACTCCTTCCAAATATTATTGATTATCTTGAGATGCATGTCCCTGCTCTACTTGGTCCAAACAAAAATAATCAAGCTGCAATGCAGAAAATTAAACAAGACTTTCATAACATTGAAAGTATAAAGGATTTATTTATGGTGTTACAAGGCAAGTACATGTCGTGGTTTAACTATGAACTAATCGTTAAACTTGTTAATGTATTCTTACCTGATAATCAATCATTAAAAAGGATGTGGTTAAGCTACAAGGAGAAATTGAAGGATTATTTTCTTAACAGTGGGGGGCTATTGAGAGATGTTGATGCTGTAAACTTTGGTATAACAGATGTTCCTCCTGGTACACAAGTAATGATTGCTAAAGTTGATCGGGATGACTACACACCAGCTGACCTTTTCTTTTTTCGTAGAGCAATACCAAAAGAACTAAATATTCCTAATGTTAATTTGTACTTCAGTTTT